ACATACATACATACACATACATACATATACATACACACATATATAGGTATATCTTTTACAAGAGACACACAATCCACGAAACACGCATATACGGTGTACGCGCAGATGTACGAAAGCGTGTGTAAATAATCACGTACACACTGACAGTGAATATGTTTTAATCCGCTATAATTACATGGAAAAACTTTGCCAAGTTTCTATACGTGACTCACGCACAATACAATACAGCAAATTTATATACAAGAAAAAACAAAAATAAGAAAATCTATCTTACGTTTAGAGTTTAGAGAGTTCAAATAACTATGCAGACAAGTTGCTAAAAGCGCGTTTGTGTTGATTATTATTTACAGAATACTCACCGTTATGGCAATGTCATGAGCAGGATCGCATGTATCGAGTTTTCGACGAAATCTTAATACGGTATGCGTTCGATTTTCGTAGCCCCACATTAATATATAATCCTGTGAGGGATCGACAATCGGCTCCGGATCACCATTTCGTTTAATGTGACGATCCTATCAAAGAAAAAATATTTATAACATTCAGTTAAATATAAAATATAAAATGTTCTCTAACACAGGGCAAAAACCAAAAACCAAAAGCGTTGATCTTTGATTCAGTTTTTAGCCGATAGCCTTTTTCACAACTACGGACTATTAGCTATTTTTTTTTTTTTTTTTTTTTGATGTCCTAAAATTCATTTCCTTCGTCTAAATAAATTCGAATAATAGTATAATAAGAGGATTTGGTCTTGCGTGAGTAGCGCAGCTTCCAAATAAATTGATAAGTCCGAAGAGGGCATACCAGCGTACATATAATATTAATCTTATATACAATTTATTCAAATGCTTGTGCATCGCCTGATACCTACAATTGATATTATCAATTAAAAATACATAAGGCTTCCTTCCTTTTTTTCAAATGTGGCAACTTCGGATGAGTGACTTTCCTTTCAAAAAAAAAAAAAAAAAACAAAAAAAAGTATGCAATAAGTCGTTACATAAACAACACTGCACTCAAAAGCGAATTATTTATTATAGCTTACATGCTTGCAACGTGCGATTCTTCATGGATTGCTTATTGTTTGTGAAATCTTCTCCTGCGTTGGGTCCTTGCCTTTCTATATGATCATAGTACGAAAATAATTTACGGACAATAGAAGCATTAGTTCGACTAGAGGAGTATATAACATTAATTGAAAATATTTTCTCCACGATCTTTGCAAAATCAATAGAAGAATAGGTCACAAGGGCACAAGGGCAAGCAGATAAGAGTCGCTAGTGCCAAGTCGGCATACGTCGTTAATTAGACTTTCCTTGATAATATTTGTTACGCTAATAACGTTGTAAACGGTTTGCTTCGAACTTTGCTTTTGGTTCGGATCTATGTTTTTCTTTATAATGTTGTAGTGTAACTATGTAATTGTATGTGCTACTTAGTTTGGCTGAGTATATGTTGTGTCATTCGGTTCTTTATACACATGTGAAGGTGTACATAGATAAATGACTAATGATCAAGGTTGTTAGGAACGGTTAAGCCTGACATTGAAAAACAGCTGCTCGGGGTATTTCGCGCAGGTTGTGAATGTGCTCAAATTCTTAAAAGGAGTATACAACGCCTAATCGTGGAGTTGCTGTGCATTTAGATGCTTGGCCAAAGATTTTAGAAAAGCCTCGTCTTAAGATGTGTCATATATCTGATGATTGCATTGTAATGCGGTATCCATCGGAAATCTCAAAGCTTAGGGGCACTAAGGGGCGATAAATGACGAAATATCTACTTTACACTTCTGTTAGAGGAAAGCTTTTTTCATTAAAAATTAGACTTTAAATCAAATCTCATTTACACGTGAGATTATGGGATGAGGGTATGAGTGGCATTTGCGATCCGCTTATCTGGGTGACAATGAGGCGCACTTGATGAAATCGCGCGGGAAATGGTAATTGATTGGTTTCAAGTCGTTTACTTCTGTATTCGCATGGCAAAGCGAAGCAAAGCTGTGTAGTGACGCAACTTTCTTAGCCACGATAAATATGCTGCTGGCGTCTGTAAAATCATATGTGATAGAAAATGTTTATAATTTTGAAAATTTATTAAACGATTATCGTTGTACCACAGCGCTAATAATTAGTCTTTACGAGAAAAGATTGCGAAACTTGAAAGCAAAAAAAAAAAAAAAAAAAAAAAAAAAAAAAAAGGAACTCTCTTAACGTTTAATTTAATTTATTCTGCTAACTACTATCTGACTACTACTATATATGCCTTTCTTGATAGTTTGAAATTTTCTCGAATATTGTCTTAAATACGGAAAGTAATGGCTTATATGTTCGGTTGCTGTCTGACCAGTGTCAACACATAAATAAACAGATCAACCAGCAACAAAAACAAAAAACAAATATATAAGAAATTGTTGCAATTTTAATGAAAAATTTAATTTAGCTTTTCAAACATGATAAAAGTAACAATCACTTCACATATTTATACAAACATATATATATATATATATATATATATATAGCATAAATGTATTAAAACTAAAAGTATTCAATTTATGGTTATTGCCAAAAATCAATTTAAACTTCGAAAGCCACACAAACATATTTTGACACATTCATATAAAATATAATCATAAAGAATGCAAACTAATATTTGTATATATATATATTTATCTATATAATACACACACATTTATATAAATCGATTTATATATATATATATGTTATTGTTTAGAATTTATTTCTAACACTGTTGTATAGTAGAATAGTTTTTGTATTTTGATTTAATTTTTATATTGCATTTTCACTAATTTCAGTTTTCAATTTCATACATAGTACGGACATGAACACGGGAATAGTGTCCTCTAACTCATAAATGTTTGGATTTTATTTCTATATTGTCTGCAGCACACTGCGTATGAGTGACATTTATTTATATTCTTTTTGTTTAGTTATGTTTACATGTGTATTGAATACGAATGCGAATTGAAGTGATGACGGCGCGCGCGTTTGTATGCGAAACTCTATATGAAGATATATATTTTAAATTTATTTATTTACCCGCTATATTTGTGTTAAATTTTATATATTTTATGTTGAAAGTATTAAAATTGAATTTTATGTGAAATGTGATTTTTTTTGCTCTTTTTTTTTTTTAACAAGCATAACCAGGGGCAATATTGATTGGATATGTATGCTTAAAAAAAAAAAATGAAAAAAAAATGAAAAAAAAAAGACAAGTGTGTAGCTTAAAAGATTTGCTAAATATCATCATTTTTTTTTTTTTCTTTTTCGGTGGATTTTCCAATGGCTGGTATGGAGTGAGAAAGAGAGAAAGAGCCAGAGATTTCTTCTTTTTTTTTTTTCTAATTAAAAGTTGAAGAGTATTTAAATGTATTTAATCTTAAATGTGTTTAATCAAAAGATACCGAGTAAACTAAGAAAACATTTATGAGGTCGTCTAACATTTACGACAACTGCTAAGCGGGACTAAATTACGTTTATTCGAAGTAAAAGTGATTTTTCTGTAGGAGTGGTTTCCATTGCAAATTTTTCCTTTTTTTTTTTTTTTTTTTTTTTGTGTATATTTCTGTTAAGGGAATAAGTGATAGAGAGTAAGTTGCGATATATATGTATATATAAGTGGCATACGGCAACACATAGGGTGCAATCAGATTTGCTATTTGATATTTATGTTGACGTGATGAAAAGTGTTGATGAAATAAGGCAGTAATTGCAAGATTGTGGCTTTTCCTCTTTACATTATATATACATACCTTACAGCAGATTGACGAAATAACCGAGGCATGGGAAACTGATCAAGACTTGTGAAATGAAGACTTATTTTGAAATTATATTGCTTCCAATTGACATTTAGTTAAGAGTTTTTTTTTTTTTTTGCTCTTTACAAATCGGGTCAAAGGTCCTGATAAGATTAGCTTTGGTAGGTCTCGCTCATGGCTGTTCACATTGTCTTATAATGCGAATTGTGCAACGCCATCTGGAAAAGACAATTTTTTTTTTTTTTTTGGAAAGATCGGAGAAAGGATGCCGAGGTTGTTGGCGCCTCTTCGACTTTGATTATACCATTTCTTTTCATAAAATTTTGAAACTGCCTGCTTACAGTATTACATGACCTCGATAACAAAACAAGTGCCAAAAACATCTGTGACTTAAATGTTGGTCAAGTCACGTAGGGCGTCATTAAGCAAGGTGAGAATTTTCATGATAAAATCACCCTTAACTTCATAGGAGGCCAGTTTGGCCGGGAATGCTTTGTAGGGAAAGGCTTGCATTGAGTTATGTGCATAATTCAAACGTTCGGCTCATAAGCGAATCCAACCAACCTATCACAGAAATGTATGTATATTCGACATGCGACTTCAACACGTCAGGACATAATTCTGGACATTCGACGCGTTCGGCGCGAACGATTTATTAAAAATGAAGTTAAATGAATGGACTTGCTATTTAAAATATCACTTTCAAATCAAGCTTTGGCTACAGAAAACGCACACAAAAAAAAAAAAAAACAAAACTGACGATCAATGGAGAAGAAAACAATAAAATTCTCTCGTAATTTTTTTGATATAAGTTCAAAACTTTTCTACAATCGGAATATTCTTCGCTCTAGTTCTCGTACTTTGTTTTTTATATATTTATGAAATAAAAGTAAATAAAAATTAAAAAAAGTCAACAGTTGCTTTCTCAAATGGTGGTCTTTATTAAACAGAGATTTTTCAACTGAGATGTGAAAGCAAAAATTATTTGAAATATGCGGGAAATGTTTTGCTAACAATTAGTGCTTAGATGGAGCTTGAAATGAGCACTTTTTCTCTATATATGTTTTCAATATTTTTTTTGTTTTTTTGCTTTTTTTTTTTTTTGGTCTCATAAGTGAAGGTTGAATTACTGCTTAAATAAAAGATTTTTTTTTTTTTCCATTGTTTTAAGCAATGAACGAACCGGTTGTGTGTCAAAAACTATAAAACGTTTGTGTTCTTCTTCTTTACAGGATAAAAAAGAACACACACGCATGATGACGATAAGTCATCTATCATTTATCGTTCAAGTGTTCACGTTTTTGAAGGAAAAAAAAAAGGAAAAAAAAAGAAGAGAAGAAGAAATAGTAGAAGAAAAAATTGATAACATACCTGAAAATATGTTTGTCCCTTGTCCACCCAACCAATTGCTATGTCTGAGCCGGCAAAGTTGCCGTCGGGTGAAAATCCGAAACCCACGTAGCCCAGGGTACGAGCCTGTATTTCGAATGTTATATCTTGATTAATGATTTTCCATAGAATGCGAAAATCTTCATTCAAATCGACAACATGATCCCAAAGCAAAGGATCCAAAGACAATGTCGCCGACTGCGACAACGCATTAGCTTTTGATGTTACACAAAGGCCCTCCAGCAGACAACTCACAATGACAAAACAGGATATAAAACATGTGATTAACGATGACAGCGATAAACTTGTGCTTGTGTACTTAACTTCCGGCGGTGTAGTCATTATGTGGCCGTAGTTATATTGTCTGCAGTTGGCTGACTAGCAACAGTCAGTCAGTGGCTTTATGTGTTTGCCCGTACAACAAACAGCAAACACGATTACAAATTCGCGCGCACGCCGATTGGTTTACGGTTGGTCGTCGTCGTCGTCGTCGTCGTCGTCGTCGCTATTTTGTTGTCTTTCGTTGCGTTTCCTGTTTAATGCTCGTAATGCTCACTTGCAAATCTAAACGGTGTGCGAATCTTTGCAGGTCAGGCAGGCACGCAGGCAGGCAGACAGGCTTGTTTTCAAGCAGATTTAGTTGCTCTTTAATTATATATAATAGCTTAAGCTGACCAGGTCCTCGTTCGGTCTAGGACTTGGTTCAACATTTATGGTTTATAAATGCCACCAAAAATTGCAATAGTATACGCGTATCCAAGTGCCAGTACAATCTCATACATGTACTTTGGCATTTACATATGTACGCGTACGTATGTTCAAGTATTGCAATAAATATATGCACTTATGAAGATGTTGAGTCGTTCAACCAAATGTACATACGACAACGTGCATATAACTACGCACATGCATGCACCGTACGTTTAAATGGTTGAATGGCGTATATGCGTGTTTTTGTGTATATATATCTATATATATATATATATATATATATGTTTTGTGTGTAGGTTTGTGTGCGCGTTTGTGCGCGTTTGTTCTCATATATAAGTGTTTAAATCACTATTGCTTTCCAAGGCAATTGGGTCGGTTTTGTTGTAGTATTAAAAACAATTTTCCTTCTTGTTGGCCTTGTGCTTATTACACAATCGAATTGATGGCTGGGTAGTGTGTGGTTGATGCTCCTCAGCTAGCGTACGACGATGCATGTCGACACACACGTACACATCAGTAGATATCGTTTGCGCCGTGGTATGTGGTATTACTTTCTCAATTTTTGTTTTATGCCTTTTGTTTATGTTTGGCTTTGTATGTATGGTTGGGTTTGGTTTCATTTGGTTTTATATCACAGCATTCGGCTCACAGCACAAATTATAAAATAAAAGAGTTTATTTTTTTTTTTTTTTTTTTTTGTTCGGTCTTTCTTTTTTTTTTTGGTATTTTTTGTTTCTGTTTCTGTTTTTTTTTTTTTTTGCTTTTTTATTTTTGTTTTTTTTGGGTTCTGTACAACGTTTTAACTTTTTCGATAGCAAACAAAAACAACAAATGTTCGGTAGTGGTTGCCTTGTTGCTTGACTCTATGTGCACATCATGCATGCACATCCATACATACATAGTTATGTATGCTGTTTGATTGTTTTTGAAGCATAGACATACGGATGGATATACGTATAGATGGCTGTTTCAGTGTCTGTATCTGTATCTGTATCTGTGCCTGGCTTGTGCCTGTGTCTCTCAAACATGTATATACTTTTTTGTTCGCACTCTTCACAATTATTATTCGAAATTGCACAAAAGGAACACTGTGACTGCAGTTTTTTTCTTTTTTTTTTTTTTTCTGTTTTCTCTGTTTTTTTTGTTAAATTTTTTTATTTTTATTTTTATTTTTTTTTTTTTTTTTGTTTAATTTCCCTTTTATAGATTTATTTCAGTTGTGGTGATGAGTTTATGGCATGATCGTTTGTTTGGTGGCTGTATTGAGTGGGTTTTTTGGTTTGCGGCCAATGGACAGCAATATTGCCATCGTCCTCATTGTCCGTTTGCGGGTGTGTGTTCATTTTTCAAGTTATTTTAATTTACAGACAATATTCACAAATTGCTTCTTCTTTTTTTCATTTGCTCCGCCTTCTCGTCTATACGATGATGGTTCAACTTTCTCTTCTTGTCTGTCTATTGCTGAAAACAATTACAAAAACAAAAAAAACAAGGAAAAGAAAAAACAATAATTAAGATATGAAAAATATTGTAATTAACAAACGTATTTGGAATTTTCAGTTTATATATACCAACTGACTTCACATGAGCATGCACATATAAATATATACATTTGGGTGTGTGGGTGTGTGTCTATGGGTTTTCAAAGACATGAAGAGAATACATGCGAAAAGCGGACCAAGAGGTAATTAACGAAACACTCACTCAAATTCTTCAATATCACGAACTTATACTAATACAATTCGTTTTAATAGCTTAAAGCGATTCGCACGCTTGCCCTTCACAAATCAGATAAGTAAACTATATCTGATATTCAGCGGATCAAGGGAATATGTAACTGGTGAATTCTAGGTAATTACTTATCCATGTATGAAGTGGCGAAGAAGGGCCGGGGGGACTATCGGCGGTACTATCTTTACATCATATGTTTTGCTAATTCTTTGTCAGGTTCGTATGACTTCATAACCTCTATCTCTCAGATGTTCCCTTGGCTTGAGTGTATGACATATCACTTTCGCTTACGTTTTCCTTCGCTGGAGCTTCATTCACACATACGTGTCAAACATAAAAAATATCACGCATTAATTGACCCATCAAATTTGGATCCACACTTTAAATAAATATTCATTGATAGAGTTTTCCATTATCTTCATTATTAATACGAGAACAAGAGTATTTTATTATATAAACTGCCTTTTAATCGGTTTTTATATTAATATTGAAAATTCTAAACGATATTTCGGATATGTTCATGCAACCTATGCGAAATTTTTTGTATATTTGAAATGGCGGCCACTACAAACTGGCGGATTAACTTTCCCTTAACCTTGTCTTAAACGGGGGTGTTAAGTAAAAGTACTTGGAACCAGAAGAATACTTGAATTCTAAATGCTATGGTGATTATGAATTAAATTAAGTATGGCGGACGTCACAACGTGACAAAATAATTTTTTCTTAGCCATACGATCGATGTGGATATCAATTACTACAAGTGCTTGGAAGACGCGAAAGTGTGAGCGTGCTTGTAGCTTAAGTGGAATGGATTTGAAAATGCCCCAAGCATTAAATGATCAATCTACCCAAGTTTTCAAATATTCAAAAAACCAGTTCCATCAACAAGCGTAGACTTTGAAAAAGATGATATTCAGAGATTCAACTTTATTGTTAAGCCTAGATTGCTACCAATTTTATCTTCTTAGTCTTCTACTGAGGCTCACGTTGCCAAGCTATTACAGTAGAGTGTAGATTGGATTTAAGATATTCAGAGCCAAGTCCAGAGTCAAGTATACGGTACCCCAAGTTGCGTAAGCGCATTGAAAAATTGTCAAGAAGTTTTTGTTAGTAATGAAGCATTCAAAGAAATAAGCAGAATGGGACAGAAGAGACGTAGATAATTCGAACCGCAATTGAATAAATACTAAGAAATAATTTATAGAAAAAGAAAATTTCTTTTTTTTTTTAAATGTATATTTAAGTGAACTAAAATATGGGATAAATAAATACTGTCTCAATATGGTGGGGATGTTCTTTTCAATGGAACGTCGCTTGATATCTTTTTTAATTTAAACGGTAATATTCAAGGGCTCCATCAATTATTTCTTTTCCTTCCTTTCGCTGCCTATAAATCCTCCTGCCGGCCATCAAGTTAGCATTAGGGAATTTAGATTTTTTAACTCTAACATACATAAGGGTTACCATGATAAGTAAGGAGAAAAAGTATGATTTCTAGCTTTATATAGCGGGGACGTACGTAACACTCAGAAGAGCTTAAAACCTTTTATTGTACCGATTGATTCAGCATAATTTTCTGGATCTATCTAATTGACCGTCCGTCCATCCGTCTGATGTCTGCCCAGGTGTAATTTTGTTCAACTTACAGGTCGCAATTTCTGAGATATTTTGACAAATTTTGATACACTGATGTGTTTCGATTCATCGTTGATCGCTGCTGAAAATGTTCCGCTTCAGTCCATTTTTTCGACCAATCGCCATATTTTGCCTTATCCTGAAAACCACAACAACAATCTTCGTCGTTGCATTAAAACAATTGGGACTGCCCAATACGGACTGATATTAGATGAACAAAGAGACAGACGTAAGGACAAGTGCGCAATTGGTTCTAAATCAATTGGAACAATGAAAAATAGATTCATTCTATAAGTCAGCAAAAGTGTAATACGCAGGGAGCCACGGATGGTGAAGAATACAAAACCAGCACAAGTTACTCACAAGTTAACTTTTATACTATCTGAAGACCACTTATTTTAACTGTATATTTTCCACTCACTATACTATTTGTAAATATAGGAATGCAACGCCTTTCTCTCGAATATCTCTTAAATTCTATCCACAGTGTTGATTAACGTCAATATCTTTGAATATTTCTCCTTCTTTGAGTGGGTTTTTTTTTTTTTGAAATGCTTTAATTCATATCTTTAACGGTTTTGCTTATCTATTCAATTTTTTCGTCTTTTGTACTTTTGTATTATAAGCCAATTGCAAGTGCATCTTCTTAAAGTTTTGGATTTGTATGTGTGCTTCCAGAAGAAAAGCAAAAAGTTTCATGAACTGCTTTGCTCTTAATTAAAGAATACATTTTCGCGGATGAAATATCGATTTCTCACGCTTTTAAAAACGTTCCAGTTTCTTCTTTAAGTTGTAGTGTCCTTGAAAAGAATTTTCTTAACATTAATCTCTCTCTCTAAAAAAAAAAAAAAAAAAAAAAAAAAAAAGTAAAATTAACGAAGAAGAACTAACGACAAGCCTAACAATAATACTTTAAGTGTTTTCTTTGCCTGCTTGCTTGCTTGCTTGCCGATATACAGGGGAAAATGTATTCTGCAAAGTGAAAGTCGAAATCCAAGCGGAAAATCAAATATCAAAACGAATGATGAGTAACCAAAAAACTGACCTACAAATGAATTCCTAAACTGACATACTTGCATGCGTTTAATGTAAGAAAAAATTTTGTATAATCGTAGGAACGACAACGCGAACGAGTTGGATATGTAGGAGAAGATTCAAGGAATGATTTGCTACAAGTCGCATCAACTTCGAAGCAACGGGATTTGAAAAATATAAAAACTGATTATACAAAGGACACAGAGAGTTAGTCAACGTCTGTTCATTGCGCTGTTCAACGCTGAAACACTTCGCTTCAGTGACTAGCGAGTTAAAGGAATTCTCCATGAAATTGTCTTGATTGAAAGCAACGAATTTCCGTTTTGACGGATATTAGCAATTAGAGAGAGGCTGATGGTATATATTCAGGGGAGTTAGTTGTTCATTTGAATCGTCAGTCGACTAAATATGAACAAAGTAACCAATAAACAAATAAGAAAATTGTATTTTGATTAAAATTTTCGCAACTCTCTTATACATATTCAAGAGTGCTTGCATTTTTGAATTACTATCAGCCTGGCAACGGTCATTCGAATCTCATAAGCTTGCTGTAGAATGAGTGAAATATATTGGATATTGTGATGCAAAGTCTACGACTCATATTTCATACGATTACAAACCAAACGAAAAAGTTATTACACCCAACACGGAAGGACGAGGGATGGACGAGGTTTTGTCAAAACGTTTCCAATGCTCAGAAGAAAGTTTCAGAGATCCTACATAGTATATATGTACACATATATATTCCTGATCAGTATCAAAATTTGAATCTCCTTAAGCATGTCAGTCTGTCTGTCCGTCCGTCCGTCCGTCCGTCCGTCTATGTAATGCCTTTTGTAAACTTTCTGCTGCAAAAATGAAGCTATCGCTCTCCAATCTGGTAGAAACATTGGAAGTTCTTGCACGCAGATTGGTGTTGAAAATGGGTGAAATGGATCGAAGGGTGGTATGTCTACGCTACAACATAAACTTGGAAAACTTTTGTTCTTCAAAAGTTCTAAATATTGGGTTTTTTTGCTCATCATCTACAGCACGCGAATCTCCGAAAATTTGAACATATGGGTGATGGTGGAGCACATGTACAAAACTGGTAAAACTTGACTACGCCTACCCACTATTGTAGTGGGTAGGCAAGCTTCAAAAACCCGATAGGGTATATAAATTCTTGGTCTGTTTCGGATTTGGAATCCCTCTAAGCATGTCCGCCTATATTCAACTTTGTAATATCTGGCGAAAGGGTTTGCGCAAGCAGCTTGAAAACCCAAAAAACCTCTGCTTTCCGTGTATTTTGATTTTCATTAATAAACTACAACAAATACACGAGATAAATTTGGACAAAATTATTCGACGAAAATATCGTATCGGTCATCCAATATTATGGAATGCGCAAATTTACATTCCCCCTTTATTCAATCTTTTTTAGGATAACGGTGATGGGTATAAAAGATTCCGTCTTAACCGAATTAAATTTTCTTTACTTGTTTCGTTCTATCCTTGTGTAGGAGGCATAAGAATATATTTCTTTTGAGTTTATAGCATATGCGAATATATATTATCCCCATATGTATATAGAGGCTTGAAATGGATGCAAGAGTAGGAAGATTTATTGAAAGCACTCGTTTATAAACCTGCTTTGTTTAATGTAAGTAAAATACAAAGCACATCTAATCCACAATAGCTAGAGTAATAAAAGTCTGCTAACATTTGTAACTGCAATCTTGATAAATGATGATTTTGAAAATACTACAATTAAATTATGTAATGTGCATATAAAATATATAATGATATGTCCATGTGTACTATTACATATGTAAATGGAATACCCGAAGTGTCTCCTCTATCTATCGCAATTTTTCAAATCGCATTCAACGAAATAAGCAAAAAAAATACTTTGCCAGATTCTAAAAATTGAAAATTGTCTATATGTGGCGATCAAGTTAATGTTTTAACAAAAGAGAACAATAACTTAACAATCATTAATATCCTGGAAATTATTGAGGAAAAAAATTTGAACTGGGTTAACTTCTCGGACGCGGAAATTAAAAAAAAAAGTTTCACAT